GTCCAACTGGTTTACCCACCACGGATCTCCATTCTCCCCTGAGAGTTGCGAGCTACTAAGTCTCGGTGCAGAATTGTAGAAATAGCAACTCCCAAGCCAAGCAATGCCAGTGATAGTCAGTAGTCACGAGGTCTGTCCTCTCTAGACTGGTAGAAGTTAGGTCCCGTGAGCTTCTCACACGCACTTCAAAACATGCAACTCAGTAAATCGCGGTTATTGCGACGGAAAGGAATCACCCTGACACGAGCGGGTATGTGACAAGAGAATCGTAATTCGTCGCGCTGTGGGCGTCGCGTGCGACGTCGCGCCCGCAAATGACGATGGTTCCAGGTAGTAGATGGCGACAACAGGCAATTCAGAACCGAAAATAGTCATGAATGTCTACGATGACGGGGTCTACATGAAGTCCGGTGCTCCAATCGACAGGTTAACGGGCAGCGTTTCACCTCGACTGCTGCTTAGCGCTACACGCGTCCGCGCTACTGCGTCGCGCCTACAGCGTCCGCGCTACAGGTCGGCGCTAAGCGCTACAGCGTCGCGCTACAGCGTCGCGCTACAGCGTCGCGCTACTGCGTCGCGCTACAGCGTCGCGCTACAGCGTCGCGCTACAGCGTCGCGCTACTGCGTCGCGCTACAGCGTCGCGCTAGCAGGTCGTAGCGCTACAGCGTTCCCGCGCTATCAGGTGCTGTAGCGGGCGTACAGTTGTACCCCGCCGGAACTCGAGAGCTTTTTATGTCGATTTTTTCTTTCTATAGGTCAATCCTCTTCTCTTTGTTCTCCCATATTTATCTGATAGTGAGCTCCTGTTTTCTACTTTATCACATTTTGATGTAGTTTTTGATACAGAAGACTGTGATAATGGTTTTATTTATCATTTTTGACTTTAATTATTTGGTTTCACAGTTTGCTTGATGTTTTGAATTGGCTTGCTTTGATGTCTTGGCAGGTAACTGCCGCTCAGTCCTCGTTTTGATTCCGATTGGCGACTACATTAAAATGTGATAAAGTAGAAAACAGGAGCTCACTATTAGATAAATATGAGAAACAAAAGAGAAGAGGATTGAATATAGAAAGAATGAATACAGAATCCTATGCCGCTTATGGATTACGGAGCGAAATCTGCTTTTCGAATTTGCCCCCAATCTCTGCCTGGATCACAGGAAAAAGATTCATGCCGGTTTTCGCGTTTTCGAGGCATTACCGGCGGCTGCCATCACCTAATACGCTATGAGACAGTTTCTTCGTACTTTTTTTGGCCGGCAGGAGCTGTAAGAAAATGCCCTCATCCCTCTCACAACAGCGCCAGCGCGCGGAGAGATCGTGATCTGCCGTCACCACTCGCGTCTGTACGACACAAAAACAAGAAGTTCCTTTTATGGTTCTGTCTGTGTCTCCGGTACAATAAAGCATCGCTCGTGGCGTGTTTGTTACGGTGGCAGGCCGAGGTACTCTTGTTGGGTGTGTGTTTTTGGCAGAAAATGCTCTAATAGGGACAGAAAGGGGAGCACTGTTTACGTGTCGTAAAAGGGCAGTACCAGAAAAGTATTGACTAATGGAGTAACTGTCAAGGATGGTCAGATATTAGGTTGGCTAATAAGTAATGGCGGTTTTTTTCAATTGAAAAATTTGTTCCAAAAGTGAAAATTTTCTCTAGTTTGCAAGCAAGCTTAATATCGTTTAATAGCAAATTTCTCGTAGTATTAGAATATCAAATTCATATTCAGTTAATTCAACTATTAGCATGAAATTTCTAAATAGAGGCAGTTGTCGAAGGTGCTAATTTTCGGCGACTTCATCGGGGCACTTCTAACGACTGAAAAAATCCCACAAAAAAGCTATATCCTCAACAAGAGCTTTTTTGATATCTTATACTAACGAGAGTTTGCTATTAGAATCGATATTAAAGCTTGCTTGCAAACCAGTTCACTTTTGGAACAAATTTTTCAGTTGAAAAAAACGGCCATTACTTATTAGCCAACCTAATAGTTACAGCTGCATGTCTCACCTTTCCGTGAATTTCTCAAGAAAACTCCAGCAACCCAGCAACACCTTCCCACTTTTCTCTATAAGCAACTCTAATCATCCTAACGTTGGAAATTGCAGTACGTTGCGAAGCGGTGCTGTAGCGCTACGGTGTAGCGCTACGCTGTAGCGCGACGCTGTAGCGCGACGCTGTAGCGCGACGCTGTAGCGCGACGCTGTAGCGCGACGCAGTAGCGCGACGCTGTAGCGCGACGCTGTAGCGCGACGCAGTGTAGCGCGACGCTGTGTAGCGCGACGATGCCTGTAGCGCGACGCGAGTAGGCGCGAACGCAGTAGCGCGACGCTGTAGCGCGACGCAGTAGCGCGACGCTGTAGCGCGACGCTGTAGCGCGACGCAGTAGCGCGACGCTGTAGCGCGACGCTGTAGCGCTACAAGTGTGAACGCTGCCTTAACAAGATTTAAGAAAACCATCCCGAGGGCCCAATCTGCCGCGGCGGGGCGGCGAATCAAGAAAATAGGCGCGAATGCAGTGCACGCCCTTGCTACCGCAAAACGATGCCTGTCTTCGGGTGAACTCTCACCTTTTTGGCCGCAACCGACTTCTAAACATCCATAAATGTTCAACCTTGAACACGGGAGACGAGCGTGAATTGCCGCTCCGTCGCGCGCGGCAGTGGGCGCGACGTTTCCTTAATTTGCACTACCCTTTCGATTGGAGCATCGGATTTCATGTAGACAAGGACATGAGAGACACTTATGTCCATTTTTGATCGTACATTGAGTATTATCGACTAACACACCTAAAATCGTCGTCATCAGCGGTGGCGACGTCGCACGCGACGCCCACTGACGCGGCGAATTACGGTTCTCTTGCCACATACTCCTTGTACACACTCATAGGCACTTTTCAGTGGTAGAATCGGAACGAAAACACAGATGCCGCGGGTGGCTGAAAGCCAAGAGATTGGCGGAATCTGAAATTGCTTCAAGTTCGGCTATATCCTGACACAGTCCTCATCATTGCGGACCGGTGGGGCGTGTCAGAGTGTGCACACTGTTGAAGCCGTTCTCAGCCTTTTTGTTGAAACGCGTATGCGACAAAAAGTGGTAGAAAACGAGTAATACGAAGGATATAATACAGTAATGCACTTGTCTGCTTCAGAAACTGCCAAACCGCACCAAACGCAGCCGCACTGCCACGCCCCACCGGTCCGCAATGATGAGGACTGTACTTCCACAGTGTACGTCGGGAAACCCTAGCTGAGGGGATCGTATCCGATCGCTGGAAGCGGGGTCGTATTTGTCCAAGGAAAAGGACGTGCTCCAATTGCGTAAGAACTTGCTATCCTCACCACTGTGACAGACGCCGTTGCGATGATTTGAGCACTTTGTGCACGGACAATGTGCGTGAAGAAATATGTTCTGAACAGAACATCACGGGAACATTCTGGGGTAAAAAAAAGTTTTAGTGAGACAAGCACAACAGTTATGAGCCTCCGCCGCATTACTGAATGTGCGTTTAAATGAGCTTGAGATGAAGCACACTGATGTGAAGTTTTATTAGCCATTTTTGGGAAAACCGACAAATTCCAATTTGTTTATTTGCGGTCAGTAGAAGTAGATGTGAGCTGTTAGTAGGCAAGGCATTGTGGACGATTATTTCCGTGCAGTTGCTGGCCGAAATGACTGATTTAAGACTGCGTACTGCTGTGAGTCTCTTTCTCCATGTGCTCTTCGGATTTCTCCGAGCGTTGGAAACCTTGTTCAACGTGTTTTTCGTCGACGCTGTCGTGATGAGTGTGTATTTGCGGATTCTCTATTGGTTTAATGTCGTGGTCATCGTGCTTGAAATGTCTCATTTCTGGTACAGGCGAATGGTCCACGTTTGGTGTGGTGCGACTTCGAGTCACGTTACGATCGTATGTCTCTTTAGTGTAGGTGGTGACCCTCCTGCGTCTACCACTTCTGTCACTCCTCACATCGCTGCTGTTCCTTGCATTACCAGTACGATCTGTTGGGGTCTGAAAGAGAAAACCATTTTGAAGATTCTCACTTGACTATGGGGGGGGAGGGTAGTGGGAGGCAGTGGGCGCAGCGGCTATGAGGCTGAGGAAAATGAAAGCTTTGAGGGTGACGGGAGGACACTGAGCTCACCGTCCCAATATTCACCCCTGCCACAGGGTAGTGGTCTATGTTTCCACCAATGACGCTTGAACGCTCGCTCCACCCCTTAGCCAGCGCACTCATTGCCTTGGAGTGGAAGAGGTGTGCCACGGAATGTCAAATTCCGTGAGCTGGACTCATCTTCACGGTATGTACCACCGCAAGTGGGAGGAAGGAAGAGCGGGCTTGGAAGGAAGTGCTTTGGTTCCGGAAATAGGTCCGAACATATTCGCAGTCGAATAAGTGGGACTTCATGAGTGAGAATCCCTAAACTGAACCCATCATCAGGGTATGTCCCCCTCCCCCGCCTTCCCAGTCGCCCACATCGGAAAAATCGGCTCCGAAGGAAGCTTTCACAGTTTCGGAAATAGGCGAAGAGCATAACTGTAATCGAACAAGTTGGATTGAGAGG